TGGTTGCCGAAAAACAACCTTCCAGGACTGTGTTCTGGGTGAGACTAACTTGAATTTGCTTTCAGTGCTCACCACGAGGAAACAGAAACAAAGAAATTTGCATAATAATAGTACAGCTGGGCGATCTGTCCTCAACCTAAGCCCTAACTAACTCTTTGTTTAAAACAATAGCATCTGAAGTGGTATACACTAGTACTGCAGGTGACTAATTACCGATACTAGATTATAATGTGACATTTTATACTTATTATTATGTTTTATATCCGCTCAACTTGCGAAAGTACAAGGAAACCCCCGCTCTCGGGCTACGAGCGTTGACGTCAGTTAACCAAGGGAAATAGAACAAACAAGGAGAAAGTGACGGACTAATCAGAATTCTGGAACCGTTACTAGCTACAGGCCTCTTGTGGCTTAATGCGCCAACCAACCAGCCAACATATGACAAAGCAATCTCCTATCCAGGTCTTTGCGCTTTACGCTATAATACCCCTGCAACAGCCTTCAATTTTGTGGTAAATTTCCTCACTACGCACGGCCATTTTCCTGTAGTTGTCACATCTGAAAACGTATTACAAAAAGTGGGGGGGGGGGGTATTAATGTTATTAACTATTTATTAATGTCAGACTCCAGTAAAAACGTAAATTTTATCGCGGACTATGTTTTGGTAAGGTAATGTTACTGTCGTGAAATGGCGCACGAGATACACTAAAACTGGGGTGGGGGCTTCTGTTAACGTATATAGTTGGGAAAAAAACACTTATTATTTTACTGAAAGGGGTTTCCTAACATTTCCGTTCATCTTGTATTCTGGTGAATATTTCAATACTATTTCTGGCTTGAACGGGTTCGATTTTCCGCGTCTAACAGCCATAGAACACAAAGGTTCTAGTAAGTTTATAAAGTTATTCATTTATTGTACAATCTAATGCTTTGGCATCTAGGAAAGGATTGCATTTTTCTAGCCCAAGTCACGTGTATTTTAATCTAATTAACTCAAAATTTTATTGGAGCCAGGGCGTGAAACGTCTTATAAAAGTGATTAAAATGACTTTCACATAACTTCGTTAACCGACAGGGTCTTGTAGTTCGAACATATTCGGATATGCAAATGATATTTTTGCAAAGCTGCTTTGTGCAGTGATAAGTAATGCGTATTTTACTGGATTTTTTAAATATAGCTCTAATACGGGAGCTACGTCTTAAATGGATCTGTGCAAACATTGCTAAAAACGGACTGTTTTAATGGATTTGTGAAAAAATTGCTTTAATACAGAAGCCGTATTTTAATGGATTTGTGCAAATATAGCTTTAATACAGGGACTGTATTTCTAGGGATATATTCCCGTTGTCATAGTTACACGATTTCTGCATCTATTATGAAAAGTATCGCCATATAGTTTTTCAATAAAATTTGCCTGCTTAAATGGAGTATTGGATTATCTATGAAATTATCGTCTACTGTCATTGTGACTTCCAAAAGAACTATTCAGCATTTTTATTTTATTTTATATGCATCATGCAACATAATACAGAGTTGTATAAATTTGACCCAATAAAACTGCACATAAAAAATGTATATATAAGATATAATATAATAACAACATTGGCAAGTTTACAAAAAAAGCTATTATTTATCAGTTTAAAAGTGTGTTCTGTGTGCTGTTATCTTTTAATAAGGTCATTTAGAAAAATACTGTTGCTGCGAAAACAATATAACACAACGAATATAACAGTTGCACATAATGACTAAAGCGTCTATATGAATGTTTATAATTGCAAACTTATTTGCCTGTAAATGTCTTGTTCAAGTGAGAATAATGTAAACACATTATTGGTCTCACCTATGTATAGAGACTACCTAAATTACTGGACAAATACACTTTACAGACATGTTTTTTTTTTCATTTTGAAAAAAATATGCAATTCAATGGGAATGTGGATAAATAAACATATCTTCCAATTTGGCCTTCATATAAAATAATTGTGATAACACCCATGTTGGATTAATATTTGCTTTGTACAATTAGTATATATTGAACTGCAACATTGACAAATCAGCATACTTTAGTCATAAAAACCAAATGAGTGGTCATGACATTGCTCACTCTTCGATAATCATCTAATTATACAGATGGACTCAAGGCCCAGGAACCTCTTCTCCAATAACAATATGCAACACAATTGTTGTATCCAGAAAAAAAAAATACAGTTTTAATTCCACTCACAATTTCAACCCAAACTAAACAAAATTCAAAACAGATTTTAGTGATATGAAAATTATATTCCCCCGGCCTTATGCACATTACTTCTGCATGTATAGCAAAATAAACCAATATAACACACGTAAATATGCAATGTATGCCTCTATAATTTGTCTTTAAATGTGTCATTAAACACAGTATGTCAGTATGCTTATTTATACTAGAGTATAGAGTACTAATGTCAGCTTCTATTTATATATACACGTTCCACGTCATGTAGCCATTAACGTATCTTTTTCGAATAGAAATAAACGTTGCTGTTTTCAAAGTGAAATTCGTTTTTATTTTCTATAAAACGTTCGCATCAAGGCAGGGTCATCTTTATTTTATTCACACCCTTCCGTCATAAATTGGATTTTGACATTTTACAAATAAACTGAACATGATTATTAAAATACACTAAGCAATTGTCCAGGGGTTTGGTGGCAGCTCTCTCTCTCGTAAAATACTGACCTTAACAGGAATAAAAAAAAATATTTCTACTGGTATGTACTACAAATATATACAAATTATTTAGTCACATACTCCATATCACATCCTACCACACCAATAAAGAAGACACGTTTTTCAAGACAAAGATTTTCATGTACGTCAGCTATTTAACACATTTTAACAATCATTTATTAAAAAAATGCATTAGTCGCATTGCCGAGTAGTCTTGTCACTCCGATCAGGTGTTACCAATAGTCAATATAAACTCATGGCATTGTATCGAAAAATGTGTTATTCTGTGCAGTTTCTAACGTGTCAAGTGGATGTCAATATATTATGTACAAACATATATATGTTCGTGCGGCAACATATGTGTGATGTGATTATGTTGTGTGCTAAATATGTCTTTCAAACGTCATTACAGTATATGCTAACGTCATTGTGGTGGTGCACCTCTATTATGTTCAAGTTCTTCATTATATGTGCTTGAATGTTGACACATTCATGTTAAAGGAAATGTTTGCAGCGCATGGTGGGGGAATAATCCCACGAATGAGATCTCAGTTCACGAACATTTATGTAGTGTCAATAGTTCAATTGGCGTTGTGTTTAGACTAGTCTGGATAGGACAGATAAATATATTCCCGAGTGCTGAAATGTTCAGTGCAGTTTCGGTTGTGTTAACTGATGATTTCTTTTTTATTTTAGAAATACTCAACCAAATATTATCCACATTGCCTCATTGATTTATGGGGAAATACGTGAACACTCTTTAAATATGTTGAAATTCCGCGCAATAACTAACGAATATTCATCCGGACTGTTGACATGCGCTTCTATGATCATAAACGTCTATAAGCTACTAATAGTATTGACCCCAAATCAGCCGTCTATTTTTGTCTAATAATTTAAACGGTAATCTGAATACTAATAATGAGCTATTCTCATAATTGTCACCGAGTAGATGCGCGAAAGCATGTTGACGTAAAACATCACTCAGAGCCGTGCCCTTGTATGCCGCGTGTAACGCCATGAGCAGGGACACTGCAGAGTGCTGTCCGTGATCTCATTTGCTGCAGTCACATGTGTTGCAACCGATAAATGGTACATACTCAACAATACGTTAACGTTAGTGATTTAACATCGGAGTCAATGCGTTCTGCAATAGATTACTGATGCCCAACTGCCAAAATATGCCCTCCTTTGCTGCCCGACAAACACTCATTTACTGTGCATGGGCAATCGCTCCGTGCTCAAACTCCTCAATAAAGAACTAGTACATAATAAAGTGAAACTTCTCCAAATAATAACGTAAGTATATGATATAATGACGT